GTCAGAGAATCTGCAGTTGGAAAGCCATTATAGTATCAGTGTCACACTCAAATTTTAAGTGATTGCAAGTTAACAAGAAATCAAAAAACAAAAGGGTCTGCTGCATGAATAGTGTCAGAAATAAAAACACTTATGAACCTTTGTGTCTCTTGTTAACAAAGTACAGATTATTTAGTTATTGGATGTTTAACCAGACAAATACAACAGCTCTGACAGAAAAGTGAGCACTTGTTTATGTTTTATTCATCGTATTATTTGAAGAAAATGCCTGCTATGGAGATTTAAATAAATTCATTACCTTCATCTCAAAACACACACGACCCTGGGTGACACCATGTGAAGCTCGCGCTCCGGCCCAAAGGTAAGCGAAGCCTTCGATGGTCAGTGGATAACCACTGTAGCGATCTCTGGACACTTTGAAGTGCAGATCACAGTTGTCTGAAAAAGAAAGAAACAACACAGAAAATGCACCAGTTTTTATTTTCTGTTATTTCAGTTCCAGCGTTTTAACTGAATTAATTCATTAATTACAAGCATGAATTATATTGAAACCACATAACAGTATGAGGCACCTGCAGTGCCCAAGCCGCCGCTCTGAATCCAGGTTTTAGTGGACTTATGTCATATACTTTTCACTTTAAAATGTATTAATAATGACTGCAGAGATACTGTTTTCTAGCTGATCACTCTGACATGACACTTGGAACCACTGAAGCTTTGAGTAAAAGTAGTTTACTTGTTTTAAAAAAGTCAGAGGGCCTCATAATTACAGAGGAAGAACAGCGGTGACATAGATGTTTTTAAACTGAGCAGATGCATTTAATTTTACTTACATGTATCAATCGTAACAAGAGTGTCATCTATGTTCTCCTCTTCATCTTCAGCGGGGGGTTGTGGAGTGCGGGATCTGTACAATATCAGCAGAGTATGAGGTTAACAGGCGCTTTCATTGACAGAATGTATACAACTAGAAACTTAAAGGCTGTTCAATATCACCATGGCTCTGTTGGTAAGTTGTACATGTGCTGATTTAGAGAACCAAATACAAGTCCAAAGAAAACTATCATATCTTATGGTGAGAATATTACCTCTTGTCTTCGCGATGCTCATAGTAACCATAGGCTCTGCTCTCCTCGTATGGTCTCTTGCGGCTGTTTCCACCCTTGTCAGACTCAGCTTTCACTTGCTCAGCCTTTACAGCATCTTGCTCCTGCTGATGTTCTGCTTCAGGGCTATCCTGCCTTTCCTGTTCGACACTAGGAGCCTCAGCTTCATCCTCCATTTTCACCTCCACTTTGACTTCTAAAATGATATAAGAAAAATGAAAATGAGCTCCATGTTCAGTTAGAAGAGCTTTACAAATTGAAGTTAATCAAACGGGGAAAAACTTGCACAAAATGCCCCTGCAGACAAAGCTTTTCATGTACAGAGCTGGTTGTGTTGAAAATTACCTGGTATGTTTTGAAGGTTCTGCTCAGGCTCTGGTTCGGGCTCTGGCTCAGGCTCTTCCACAGGCTTAGTTTCCTCCTCAGACATATGTTCGGCTTTGTTTACATCAACATCTGCTGTGAAGTCAGGCATGCTGTGTCCCGAATCTGAAGTTGGACGACTTTCATAAGGCTCGCCTTCTGCTTCCTCATCCTCGTAGTAACCACCAGAGTCTCTACCCTCATCTTCCTCTTGAAGAACATCGTCCTCACCATCTTCTTCCGCTTCTGCGTCTTGTTCCGCTTCAGCATCTGGTTCCACTTCACCTTCGCCTTCATCCGCATCATCACCAGAGTCCTCAGCAGCTTCTGTAATGCAAAAGGAGATCCAATAAGCTCATAAAAACAAAATGCAGAATTATATTACTTGAAATATCATTTTTATTTACAGAAACTTGTAACAATGTTTAATATCCCAGAGCTGTGGACAAAATCCTACTCCCAAACTGTCTATTTATTTATTATTATTCATTAGTAGTAATCAGTAGTAGTAATCATTTATTTCGGTCACAAGAAAAAACAAAAACATCTTGACTGAAAAGGTGTAGGCTGAAGCTTTAGCTTATTACACCTACCCTTATTACAAATCTTATTATTTAAGACACTATACTAGTTTGGTTACAAAAAAACAGAACATATCAGAACAAAATTTGTTCTAAGAATTTCTTTCAGAACAAAACAAATGAAACAAACAAAAAACGAAACAGAATAACAGAACAAAAAATAATCAAACCTGCCTTTTATATTTGTTAAACACCATTTTTTTCTAACAAAAATTTAAATCTGGAAAGTGAACGACACATTCTTAATTCCATGACACAAGTATTCCACAAATTAACCCCTTTTACCGAAATACACCTGTTCTCTATGTTTGTCCTTACCTTTGGGTTGTATACACACCTATTCCCCTTAGTTCATACCGACTCTCTCTAGTTTCAAAAAACCTCTGAATACTGTTCGGAAGCAAATGATTGTGTGCCTTATAGATAGTTGAGCAGCATTTTAAATGATTATCGAGAAAATTCCCTAATTTAACTCCATTTACTGAAATACACATTAGTTTTAATGTAGTGCGTGCAAAAGGACTTTTAAAATTAAATCTCCGTCTACGATCCTCCTCATTAAATGTAAACACAAACAAATTCTGCACATCCAACTGTATGTCTGCCATATTTTGAAATTGACAATAAAGTTGACTTTGACTTAAGATTGCTGCTAAGGAAGTTTCGTTGTGTCCTTTGTACACAACGATAATACAGATTGTATGGTTAAATATGGTGATTAAATGCAGAACACATCATTGACCCTTCAGAGATCAAACACATCAAATAAAAATCCTGCAGAGCAGTTAAATATTAAATTAAACTATGCATCGACAAGGCTTACCCTGTTGCTCTTCTGCATCCTCTACATCTTCGTCCTCTTCGTTCTCTGGGGTTTCCTGATAGTATGCATCCTCCTGGTCCCCTTGCTCAGTCGCATCAGTGTTAGTTTCAGCCTCCAGGGCAGTTTTCAGCCTCTCCACCAGATCTGCCTTCAGGCCTTTGGTGTCCAGGCCGCGGCGCTGCAGCTCCTCTTTTAGTTCGTTCACTTTCAGTTTCTTTACGTCAACACTCATTGTGTGTGTTTTTTTGGTGTTTGTTTCAGTTTTCCGATGTTGCTACCTAAACAAAAAGTAAAACAAAGTCAGCAGAGGACATCTTACAACACCGCGCCTCACTGTTTAAAAAATCGATACCCGATGGCGGCAGATCGTCTCAGCACGTCTAATGCTACGTTAGCATGTTAGCTTTGCTACAAGCGCTGGGTGCAACACTGACTGCACACATGCATTCACATGTTCACACTAACTATCTTTGAAGTGCTTTATTCTGAGTTAAAAACTGCACACGGCTAAAAAAATGATCGCAAAACACGCTTGCAGCTTGAATATGCGTGAAGTTGTTTACCTCAAGTTGCCGCTGTATCGCTAGCCGTGTTAGCCTTGGGTGAGCTAACGTCGCTACAACCGATAGAGAAGTTACTTTTACACAACTTAGTGTGGCTGTACACCCGCTGCGAACATTACTCTGTGTTTTTATACCGTCCCTGTGTGTTTGTAGTGTTTGCTCCGTGTGTAAGTTGTGATGCAAAATAAAGATTAAATAAAGTTGAGGCCTACCTCTTCTCTCGCGAGTTGCGCGGGTCAGTTGTGATAGAAGATAGGAAGAGTGAATGAATGAGTGCTGCCCCCTGGTGTCGTCATCGAGAGCGAAACCTAAAACCGGAAGTCGAGAAGACTGGCAGCAATTTCAAAATAATTACATTTACGCCGATATGCACGTGTAATAAATCTGACACTTGTTTTTATTCTGGATTTAAACTGGGTAGACCCAATACTGTATAATATAACATTATCTTTTTTTTAATTTTTTTAATTTTATTAAATCGATACATTTACAGATCAGGAAATACATACAAAACATTAGGCACATAAATTAGATTTTTTTTTATTATTATTAATTTGAGCCTTTATTTAACCTTTTAAAAATAGTGTTTGTGTTAGCGGCTTCCTTGCTTGAAATTATGTTTATCATGATGGCACATTGAGGCAATTCTTGTAGAAAATGTGGAAAGTTTGGAGTCTGTCCACTTTTTCAGTGTATGATGAATTTTCCTATCATCAGAATCAGCTGTAAAAAAAAAAAAAAAAGGTTGTTTCCTTGTCTTCAAATTAAATGAAAACATATTTTTCCTGGAAATTAATATTTTTTCCTGTTGTTCTCCTTATGGCTAATGTTGAACAGCAGCCCAAAATATGTTAGTGTATGTACATAGATTCAACAAATTATAGGATGTTTCTTACTCAAGTCCACAAAAAAAAAGAGTATTCAGTATAAGATGCAAATCTTTAAAAAAAAATTTGTGGGATAAGTTTTATGCAAAATGTTGAATGGAACATATTTTGCTTTTATGCTGAACTTAGCACCAACAAACCAGGCCTTATCATACGACCTAAAAAGAGGACTTTCATAGTTCTCACAAGTCTTGTAGAATGTAAAAAAGAAAAGGATTAACTATGACGATGATCAGGTTTCAATAAGGAGAAAGTATTGTAATTTAGTTTTTAGTGAAATATGACACAAACTCTATAAACAGACTTCAAATAATTTTATTTTACACAACTCCTTTACAGCTTTCATCACATCCATATAGATAAACCAGACAATATATTTACAGTTCCAATGCAACTTGAAATGTCCCAAGACTGAATCCAACCAGAGTTCTTCTTTTAACCTAAAGTCGCTTACAATTGATAGCAATAACCTACAGCAGTGAATTAAGTAAGTAAGTTATTAATGTCCATGGCGACCACTGATATAATGACAATCAAATATTCTGGAGCTTTTTATAAAATATATTATCTTTAAAGTCACCATTGCCCTTTACTGTAAATCTTTATGTACAGTGACCTTTATAATCAACATGCAGGATCAGCCACAGAAATACACTATGAATATCATAGCATTCCCCCCTTTACAACTATATGCTCAAAACTTGAGCTAATTACAGCACTCAAATCCACCATACACAGATATGTTTGTATCAACCTCAACCACCCAGTTGTACGGGCAGGAGAAAGTGTGTGAAGCAGGGAGTTATCAGCCTTGCCATATAGCAAAGAACAAATGTAGATCATTTTTTGGTGGGAACAGGAAACGATAGCAGTTGCCTGTTCATCTCTCTCAGCTGAGCATCTAAAGTCTCTGTTGTTAGTGTTAGTTCTGCTATATTAGTCTGTAGGCCTGTGATGGTTTCATTCATCTCCTCTTCTTTGCGGCGAGCGTTAGCAGCTTGCCTGCTGTACTCCAGCACCATACATCCACCGCCAACAAGGAAGATGATCGCCTCTCCCAGCAACTCTGCACCCAGCTCTGCAGCCGCATCTTCATTTAGCGGCTTAATGGTGGAACCCCGAAAGCCCATGATCCGCATCTTTGTTCTCATCTCAATCCAATGATAAACTGTAAGGACAAAGAACATACAGAGCACAGCATCACTCGGACTTCAATATGATTAAGAGTGTTGTTCGCAGTTTCTTCATGCCTACAGAGATTTTTTAAAAGGAAACTGTCTTCACATTTAATCCATGAGGTCAAACTTTTGCATATATAAAATATATTTCTTTTTTCTTTTTTTTTCCCCCCATCAACTCACTCATTTCACTCCATTTTTAATAGATCAATGCCCTGTTTCATTCAGCTGATAGAGGGTTAACATTCTCAGTCTTTCTATTGTATGTATGTGTCTAAGTGTGTGTGTATGAATACGTGTATAGGTTACTGTATATGTGTTGATTTATTTAGAGGTGTGGTCCCTTGTATAAGCCTGTTATGTTTTTGTTAATCCTATTTTGATGTATTCTTATATGTGTGTGCTATTAAATAAATAAATAAATAAATAAAATGAGCAGGTGAACAGTAAAATAAATGAGAAGAATGCAATATGACGCATTTGTCTACATATACTATGTATGCAACGCACGCTAAACCTCTTAATCACATTTTTGTTGCCCTTATTTAGTAGTCGAATGGCACTAAAGGTACTAACTATTGCCACAATTTCACAGTTTGGGATCAATAAAGTAAATCTATCTATATTCATATTTAAATGTATGCACGTTTTGTCCGGTGCAGCTGAAAGAAATGACAGTGTGTTTGCTGGTGGTTGGTATTTAGTGCATTATCTCAGTTACTGCAAATTGTTCCAGCAGATATATGCAAAGTCAATGATATATATATTTAATCTGGTACAGAAAAGGTGAGTCAATCAAGAGTTAAATGCTTGTTTGAATGATCACACATCCCTCTAATTTGTCCTGATAGAAGGTTTTGTGTTTGACAATGGAAAGATTGGCTCACCTTTACATTTACTTTTGTGTTTTTTTCCCCTTATGGAGACTTAATGAAGTAAATCTTCTGAAAATGAATCGATGAAGAATGTTTTTTTTTAGTGTAGCCTAATAAACACATGTAGGCTAGTTATTATGATACCCAGAGAGCTGTAGCTTTCCTCCAATATGGAAGGTTTTTTTTTAACAAACAGGAACAATTTATGTCCCCAAACAACAGTCATAAAATATTATATCTGTTATTTTCTGGTGTTATAATCTGGACAGGAGAGGGGGCCACACCAATTCACCCCGCTGTCAAGCTAAAACTACAACCTGCTCAATGACAGGAAAGACCCGCCCACTTCGAACCTGCCGGGCTACGATTGGTCGACAGGATAAAACCATGAAAAGTATTGGACATGCCGTTCTGATAACTGCAATCTCATTGGTAGTTGTGGCCGCCCTCGGTTATCCATGTTTCGGCTGTCTGACACTGAAATCTAGCGGTCACTCATCGCCTTTAACTCGGTTACTCACACTGTGCCGGCGGCAAGCAGACGTAATTTTTAAAGAATTCGCTCCTCCGGGCTCCCGCTTTTATTCGGTTCGCCAAAGGCTTGCTCATCTGCCTCACTCCAAGGTAGAGGAGCTTGGCGATTGGGAAAGCACCGACCACCATCTTTGCGGAAATATCTCACCACCACCGTACGGCGGAGCACGTTGACGTTCAGGCTACGTGATGACGTTTAATAATTGACGGACTCAATAAAGCCCGCCCCCTCGTAATTAAAATATAACCAGGTCAATGTTTCACAGTACTTTGCTCACTTTCTTTACAACTTTTAAGCGTAACCTGTGATCCTACGAACACAGTGGAAACTCGAAAAGTGGTCAATTAGTTTCTACAATCAGTTATTTTGTGATATTGTTCCTGGGTATGAGATTAATACTTTTTTATTCAAATTTAATTGAACCAGTAACACCAGCATTATTCTGCCCTACAAAGCCAAAGTGCATCATCTACACTTTTTGTGAAATTCACTTTTTTGCACAAATCGTAAGTGCAGTATCTGCTCTTCAGCCTGTGAGAGTTTTGTAGTTCTACTGCTTTATTTCCCAAAGATATTGTTTTTTTTTAGTTAAGCAGTATCTGTAAAATACACTGTGAAACCGAGGCAAGCTGCAGTAAGTGACACTTACTGCAGTTTGCCTCGGTTTCACCATGAAGAAGGTTTCAGATACTGCAGTTTGAGTTGGTTTCACCATGAAGAAGGTGTCAGATACTGCAGTTTGCTTCGGTTTCACCATGAAGAAGGTTTCAGATACTGCAGTTTGAGTTGGTTTCACCATGAAGAAGGTTTCAGATACTGCAGTTTGCCTTGGTTTCACCATGAAGAAGGTTTCAGATACTGCAGTTTGAGTTGGTTTCACCATGAAGAAGGTTTCAGATACTGCAGTTTGAGTTGGTTTCACCATGAAGAAGGTTTCAGATACTGCAGTTTGCCTTGGTTTCACCATGAAGAAGATTTCAGATACTGCAGTTTGAGTTGGTTTCACCATGAAGAAGGTTTCAGATGCTGCAGTTTGCCTTGGTTTCACCATGAAGAAGGTGTCAGATACTGCAGTTTGAGTTGGTTTCACCATGAAGAAGGTTTCAGATACTGCAGTTTGAGTTGGTTTCACCATGAAGAAGGTTTCAGATGCTGCAGTTTGAGTTGGTTTCACCATGAAGAAGATTTCAGATACTGCAGTTTGCTTCGGTTTCACCATGAAGAAGGTTTCAGATACTGCAGTTTGCCTTGGTTTCACCATGAAGAAGGTTTCAGATACTGCAGTTTGCCTTGGTTTCACCATGAAGAAGGTTTCAGATACTGCAGTTTGCCTTGGTTTTAGGACCAACCATGATAAGGCTCATAACCAGGATACTCAATGTAAACGCACTCAATTTTATCAGAACCGGGGAGGTTACTTACAGCACTCATGTAATGGGTAAAAAATATGCAGAAAAGGGAGATATGTAAAGCAAAGATGTGAAAATACTTCAGTTACTTTTGATACGACATGTTGTAAAACGATTCAATCACTGTTATGTTACAAGCCAAAAGTACCTGAGCTAGAAAAAAAAACAACACTACAGATCTTAAAGTAATACTTTTATCGAACGACTGCTGCATGTGAAAAAGAGAGAACAGTCGTGGTTTCCGTTTATTGAGTACTTTCGAAGTCTCAAAAAGATGCAAAAGTTATGTTTATATCTCTCACAGCCAGGAGTACATTTTGGTAATTGATGCCCAGGCCAATAAAACTGTTAGAAAATTAAATGTGTGTCACATCATGTGTCTCGTCAATGCATTCATGTGTTGCATTCAGTGTTAATTAATTAATTAATTGATTTTAATCAATTGTTCAGTTCATATAAATAGTTGCTCACACACCCAAAAGGCCTGTAACTGTAAGATTGTGTTTATATCATGAAAATACATTTTAATCTGATCTATCAAATACTTCAATAAAATAGGAAACAAAACAAATTAGTAGGAAAGAATATTCATCTTGTTTGTCTACTCAATTACATTAAAACCCATGAACAATTGTTAATTGTTAACAAGATTATCATGTATACTGGTCACATGAACATCTACGACCAGAGGCGGTTCTATAGAGTCAGTTGGGGCCCCAGGCAAAATGTATACGGGGGCCCTCCAACTAGGGTTCAGCAGGGCAATGAGAGTGAATGCAGTCAGATGGGGCCCCATAGGGAGGTTTCCTACTGTCATTGCAAAATTTTCACATTATGTGTCACTGCTTTTAGTTTTACATTTTGTCAGCCCTCTGGGGCCCCAAGCAGCACCTCTGTCTACCACAAACAATTTCCCAAAAGAGTATCACTTATACAATACATCCGAGGCATCGTAGATACATCTGGCCTATTCTGAAAATATAGCATCACATGCATCATGCAGAAGGGAACAGCTCGTTATACTCTGTAGTTCATATTTAAAATATACAGTTCATAGTTTGTAAAAATGGTCATGATCATGCATATAGGCCTACAAGTTTTTCCTAATAGCCTAAATTTTGTGAATATTAAATATGGTCTAGCCTAATTGTAAATAAATACAATGTATTTTTGTTGATATTTTATTAAATATAGATTACTTTGATACTTAATTGTAAATCCTTTCGTTTAAAATTGACTGCTGTAGGTTATGTGCCTCCACAAAGTACGCAACATGTAGACATCCTGTTCTATTTGCTAATATTGTGTTTTTTAATCATATTGTGTGTTTGGACAACCTGCTGCTGTAACGCCACAATTTCCCAGTTTGGGATCAATAAAGTAATTCTATTCTATTCTATTCTATTCTATTCTATTCTATACAATTAACGACAATAAAAACTGTTCTGTTGTATGCTTCACCTGGGCCAGCTGTGGCAGAAACACCTGGCTCGGGTTTCAACAGCAGAGTGAGCCAGAGGGGCTGGACTCTGAGCCAAAATAACTCCACTCAGTTCGCTGTTATGACTAAATGTCTGGAGCAAGCGACGCCACACAGAAGCACGGACTAAGCAACCCGACTTCAGGAAGGAACAAGAAGCTTTAAACGGGGGAAACTTCTTTCGTCTCGATCTTGGGACAGCGGAACAAAAGAGGCTCTCATTAATTTGAGGTAAGGATTTATTGAAGTCCCACAGCGTGTGAGACATTACGCAGAGAGAGGGGTGACGATGACTTGTTGTATCGTAAAGGTGTGTGAGTTTCGTAGCTCAAATGAAAGTAGGCTATACAGTCATGAAAAGGACTTTTCTATTGAAAAGTTATTTCGGTGGTTTTCTCGTCCATTGTGAGGCGCCTTGAATGCGAGGAGGAGCTTGCTCTCAAACTAATGAAAATCAGATGTTACCATTCCTGCCTGGCATGCCTTGCAGTCTGCAACCAAAAAAAGAAAGCTTAAGAGAAGGCTGCTGGACATTGATGTATGATGTGGCTTAGTCTGAAATGCAGCCGGCACAGCATCTTCATAAGTAACTTGAAAATCATGAGTCTTATAGCCGAGGCTATACTTTATAAAAAAAAAGTTCTCTATGGCCTATTTGAGAAGTTTTGTGACTTCAGCAGAAGTGATTTAAACAGTGATTTTACCTGACTCAGTGCTACGTCTGTAATATTATTATTTGAGGTTCACCACATTGTAAGTAGATGAATGCTGTTGGTAATTACAAGTGTAACCATGAAAAGAAAACTCAGTCATAATTGGTTCATTATGAATTTTATGTTTACCTAGAATTTAAATGTCTCAGTTTTCTATTAGCTTACTTGCAGGGTTGATCACAAAACAATTGCAATCCATCCAAACCTTCCTGTCAGAGCAGGATTTAAATGGCATTTATCCAACATGTGCTACACTGGGTCTTAGTGAAAACCAGCCCGGCCACATTTTGTTATGCACCTGCTGTAACCTGTTGACTTAAGAATTGTACATACTGTCACCAGCGTTGACGTTCTTCTATGCGATTAAATACATGCATGTGCACACATGTAAGCAGATGTTAAGTATTTGTCACCTCTTGTTTATGGCCCTGCTTTTGCAACTCCACATTCAGCATGACACACTGTAGGTATTAGATGGGGCATGAAACTTGGCAGAAATGCCTGTAATGTTGTGCACAGCTGAGAGATTCCTGAGTCACATGCTGCGGAGAACAGTGTTGCACTAGAAGTAGAAGATAGCTGGCAAAGTGTTAGAAGTAATGATGCCAAAGGAGCGCCTGCAGCATCAAGAACCAAATGGAGGATGATGATTGTATTGTGCAGGGATTAGTTGTCATATCATTTAAGTTGATACATAGTTTATATACCCTTGGTACAGAGATAGGTTGTTATCCTCAGCTTAGGAGGATCAATAGAGCTGCATTGTTTAAGGCTGCTGTCTTTGGCACCGACAATTGCTTTGATGAAAAGAATGTGTTGTGTGTGTGTGTGTGTGTGCACGTGCATGTGCATGTGCATGTGCATGTGTCAGCTTGCACACACGCTCATCCCTTTGTGTCTATGTAGGTATAAAGGGTAAGCATTTCAATGACTAACTAGGTCATGGGAGTGGGTGTAAGTATTATAAAAAAAATGTTTCGGGTGGAGTGTTTCTTTTGGTGAAGCGTAGATGTTGAAACCTGGAAGTATAGAAAACATGATTAATCTGAGAACAATTTCTGGAAGGACAAATATGTCGACACAAAATTCATAAAAAAAAAAAAAAAAACAAGTTTAACTCAACAGCTCATGTAGCCCATGAGAGGAAATCAGCAATGATTATCTTACAGTGTTGACAGTTGTTAATAGCTTTATAATCTTCCCCAAAATCTGAGGTGATTTTATCGTGAATAAACTTTTTAGAACAAAGTCTTCTTGCAGATCAAACTATAAATTCAGCAGGTGATGTTCTTTCTAGAAAACAGTCACACAGAGTATCAAAGTTTCATACAGGGATAACACGATACCAATACCTCCTGCATGTGTCTGCACAACAAACCATGGTCGTAAGTTCCTGGTTCAGAAGAACCAGAAATGCCAACGTCCCAAAATTTCAACACGAGATATTGGCTAGCCAAAGTCAGCATTACTCAGGATGTTATCTTTGACTCAATATTTCTGGCATGAAAATGAAATAAAGGATTTTCTAATAATAATTTCCTGGATATTTTAATTCAAGTGTGGAAAG